GATGAGTTTAGCCATGGTGCTCATCTGGTGAAGTACAGCTTCAGTGTCTGCTCTTAGTAGCGTCCCACAAGACAAATTAGGAACCAAGGCACAGTAAGTTGAATTTCATACTAACATTAAACACTCTAATGACTTTATAAGACTGGACTGAGAGTGAAGATGTTTTGGCATAGTGCCAGGATCCATGGTGTACAACTCAAGTTGTCCACAGGGGATGAGGAACAAGCTGGCTGCCGACAGTGAGGCTCGTAAGCATACATTGCACCATTTAGCCTGTGAAGTTAGCATAGAATCTTCCTGAGTACAATGGGAACAGCTACTCCTTGTTAGTTTGGTCTGGCTGGATAAGCTCTCAGCACATCCTTCCTGCAGGGGTCACAGCAGGAGAATGTGGAGGAAAACAGAAGTAGTGAGGAGAGTTTGTAGAGCAGTGTCAGAGAAAACACCCTTTTTCACTGAAAAACGATCAGTAAGGCAGTTAACAAGAAGTCTGGTTACCCAGCCAGATCAAACCAACCTCCAGTACTCAGTCTGCAGAGATCTTACCCTCCTTGCAGCAGTGCCGGCTAAGCCTCTCCCTCTAACGTTAAAACAGTCTTTAATTTGAAAGGAAAGGACCTCCAATTGCTCTGATCTCTGGTTTCCACAACCATGGGGAAACATGGAGTGCTCCTCTCACTTGCCAGGTGGGAAAGTGAAAGCTCACAACCCAAGTTCTCTAGGAAGTCCTTTCCCTTCATAGTGAGCTCTTGTCCTGGTGAACCCAGTTTGCTAAGAGACAGGAGAAGTCTTAGTGCTGGGAGGAGAACCTGGTTGTCTCCCTGTGACAAGCACTTCCCAGCTGACTCATTCTGGGTTGAAGAGAAGAAACTCATTTTTACCAAGGATCTCACCTCTCTGAAGACTGTTCTTTATATTCTGCTCCCCTCTGAGCTCGGCAGTAGTGTCTGGTGCTGTGAAGCATAGCAGCCTTCACTGACAAGCCTTCCACCCTGCGTATCTTCTTTTCTTTGAATGTTTTCCATCAGGAGAGCAACCAGTCTGTACTTCCTACAAAAATTGCTTCTGGCTGCCAGGCTGGATCCGCTTTCAGCACTAGAAGTGACACTGTAGGGCAGTGTTTCTCCTAACTGCAGCATCAAATGAAGCAGCATACCGCAGAGGAAAAGGACAGTGGGGTACAGTTTGCTACCAGTGACAGTGTAAGGCACGGACTACCCTGACAAGTTCTACGGTCTGGGGGGGCATTGGTACTGGGGTGCAGTGCCCACCTCCCACAGAGCCAACTGCATCCCACCCATGGCACAGCACCTCTGCTCAGGCCCTCCTTCCAAGCAAAAAGGTTAAGTATTTCTGGTGGAGCATGTTGTCGGTTCATTCGCATCCTTCTGGATTCATGCATAGCTCAGGTCTGGGATGTTGGTTCTCTGTAGAGATTTGCTTTTACACTGATTGACAAGTCAGCAGTATGGTGATGTTGGGACTTCAGCCAGCGCAAATGTTGGTGCCTGGGAGACCAGCAACACACCTCAGAAAGGTTTAGATTGGGTCGTACCTTTCCTGGGCACTGTCAGCTTTTCTGGAGCTGACAAAGCTGGATTCTCTATATTCCAGTCCTTCAAGCTGCACTTCCAGAGAAGCCTGCAAGCCCTGAAAATCCCAAATAAATACTGTCCCTTGTGACACTGTGTGTGAATATCACGTCAGGCTCAGACAAAGGTGAGGCTGCTCTCACCTTTTAAAGAAGCAAGACTCAGGGCTTCTTGCCATCACAAAAATCAGAAGGAACAAAACTGAATTAACCATTTCTGCCCATCTCAGGCTACTGTATCCAGTCTGTTCCTGGAAATCCTGGTTAATCTTGCAAAATCAGACCGGGGGGGGGGGGGGGGGGGGGGCTATCCCCACAGCCTTGCCTCTCTTTCCCTTTGCCTTCCTTCCCCAGCAGATTAGTGAACGCAGGAGAGACACAATGATTTTTTTCTCCTCTCCTAGTACTAGTCTCTTCTAGTAAATTTTGACAGTATTCTGTTTTAAAGGCAGGAAATTCTTCCATTAACCTCTGCTCTGCTGATGGGAGCTGCAGGCTCTGAGGGGGGAGGCTGGAGGAAGCAGGAGAGCACCAGTACCTTTCTGCCCTGGGGAGGTGAATTTCAGCCAGCCCATCGTACCACTGGCTGAACGTCAGCACAGCCGAGCCACTGCCATGACATTAAGTTGTAAAAGGCAGGAAATGTTCTTTATTGCTTTGTCTGGCAGATTTCTGTAAAAAGAACTACAAGGAGCCACTCTGGATGTGCTGCTTTTACTAAGTTTAATGCTGTTCCTGGAGGTCCTGCATGTGTTATGGCCTAATCCTGCCCTTTGTTCTCTCAGTCCTTCATACCTGGTGGTATTGGTCTCTGCACTTGGTCTATCTGAGCATGCAAGGAAGTGCAGTCAGGGGGATACAAACGACATTCCTTATGCTGAAAGGAATAGCATGTTTCTGGTTTGAACTAGCAATGTACTCGGTGGATTTCAGCACACATGGATGGCAGGCCCCCGGGTCTTACGTTGTATGTGTGCACAAATCCTATTGTGATGCTGCAGCATGCTAATTGAAGAAGGTCTTCTGAGGAGCTCTGTCTGAGTATAGGGAGGCTTCTCTTTCCCACCTAGCTAACTTCAAAAGCATGAAGTAAGATTTCAGCTGTTTAGGTAACAAATACATTTCCTGTCTTAAAAATCTCTAATGGCTTGCCTATGCACTAGAGTGCATCTTTAGGCAGATTTAATATAGTACAATACATCTTGATGCTTCAGAAATCATAAATATTACAGTATGTACAAGAGAATTGGAGTGAAGAAATCATAGTACACTGTAATACCATAGCACCTTTTAAAAAACTGATCCTGGGCATAATCTCTAATATCTCAAAACTTATCCCTCAAGAATTCCCATTAAGAGGGATAATAGTTCACTAGCTGTATCAGAGCATAACAAGTTCAAGAGCAAAAATTCATTAAGGAAACCTCTTTCTTCATAAACTACAGTGAAAATGACTGAAGGGATTCACACTTGTGCCCTTGAGATGTGTCAGTTCTCTGGAAATGTAGTATTATAGAAAAATTTAGTGTTCCCAGACACCTTCCTCAGAAATAGCAGAGATAAATCACAGCTATGCTAAGCCCAGCCAGCAAACTCAATTTCTTTCCTAAATCAAGTTCTCCACACAGTAAATAAAAGGGGAGCACCTGAAGCTAGTTGGGCATCAGTTCTCTGAAGGGGGCAGACCCATGGCCAGAGACCCCCGTGAGATGTCTATTAGCCCCTTCGCTGCTGCCGAACTGTATTGGCAAAAATGAATGACAGTTTCCACTCTGAGGAATGTAGGAGGTAGGACAAAGCAGTGAAAAGCAACAGGGGGATGTCCAGGAAGGCTTTCTTACAGTGAGATCAGTAGGACTGCAGAGGAGCATTGGGTATGCATGGGAGATCTCTTCTGTGTACCACTGAGACCTACACCCAACAAAGCTCTAATACACGGGCAATGAGAATTTCCCTTGTGTGCCCAAGGGTGATGGCATAGCTGTTCCATGTATCTCTTCCATCTCTAATGTCAGACTTCAGAATAGATCTTTAATTCCCTTTTTCCACAGAAGTGGGGCCCACAGGTAGGGACTAACTGTTCCTGAAATACTTTTCTTGTTCAGAGAGACTCCCAGAAAAATTGTATTGACCTCTCAGTGCCAATATACATGTGGATGTATTTGAGAATGTATGAGTGTATATAGAAGGTCAGCTAAAATCCTTTCTCTGCTGAAACTACCTGAAATCAGTAGATTTATTTATTTATTGCCAGAGCACTCAGGAGCCCCTAATCACACATGTGGATATACAGAGTTTCTTCTAGAAGAGGACCTAGCCCTTGAATTCAGTAAACCCAGGATTTCACCTTAACCTGTAGTGCTCTATGAGTTTTTCTTGATTTATATCTTATCTAAATTTTGAGAATATAGACTCATAGAATCAACTAGGTTGGAAAAGCCTTTAAGATCATCAAGTCCAACCTTTACCCGAGGACTGCCAATCACTCTGTCAGGGCCAAGGGGTAGGGCAGCTCAAGGCAACGTCCTCCTAAAATCTATTTCCTAGTGTGCAGAAAGCAAAATGGTGGTGGTAACCACTAGGATTGGTGAGGTTGTTGTGAGGACAGCAGTATGATATTTCTGAATGTTCATCTGGTTATCAGCATAGGTTGTTTTGTCACTATTTTGTCTGTGTTGAAGGTAATCTTCTGGCACAGGCTGTATGTGCATTCACGGAGAATTCCACTCAAGCTGTCATGGTCCATACATCTGATCTCGTTCCATCAGCACACACCTACAACTCAGAAACTTGTTTTTCAGTAGAGACAGTCAGTCTCTACCTTTCCCCTGTTGCAACACATCAAAAGACACTGAGCAGCTCTGATCTTAATCACTCAAACTGGATTTTACATAGAAACAAACAGCTGAAAAATAAGTATTTCTTTTCCAATTTAGAAATTACAGATATATCACTGTCATCTAATGCATGGTTAAGCCAGCCTTTCGCTGTGTGGAGCAAGGCACTGGCTGTAGAGGGTGGGGGACTGTGCCTTGCTCTAGGCAGTTACACCACCTCCCCTGTTCCATGGGGCAGGCTGGCAGCAAAGATGGTGAAGGTCCTCTCTGTGCTGCAGGAGGTCCTTGGAGCAGAGCATCCCGATAGCATCATTTCCATTCGCTCCCAGACTGATTCTTTCAGACTAATCAAGTGTCATAAAAAAGCACCTCAGCTTAACTGATAGTCATACCCACCCAACGTCCATTTCACTTAGAGGTAATTGAGCAGGGGATGCATTCAACCTGTACAGAATTCAAAATGAAAAGCCACTAGACTCCAGTGTTGTTGACAGGAAAATATTGTACCCATCACTCCAGCTGTTTCTGATTGCTAGTTACAAATACGTGTTATGAAATTCCCATTTACTTAGGCATTGCAGGTCATCGGACAGGGAAGATGGATGATGTCATCAGCTTCCATTTTTTCTGGATGAGCGATGTGGTGTTGCTGGCATTAATATGCAAGCCTTATGCAAGATCCCTTTCCATGGATCTGTTGATCTGCAGTTGAAAATGAAGAGCATCAGCACTGCCACAGTCATTCCTGAAGGAATTCCTTGTAATTGCGCTTTTGTCGAGTAGATAGTGAAAGGTGAGGCTGAAATTTGAGAATTTGCTTTAATTTGTAACCATATCCAGAATTTCAGTTCAGATCTCACACACAGAAAAAAAACCCGGACTCCAGTATATTGTATTGCTTACTCCATTATGTGGTAGTTAATAATTAAAAGCATGCTGCAATTGCTTTTATGAATTCATAATGGGGAGATGAAGGATTACCGCAAGTTGTAATTTGACATCCAATAATCTTTGCTGTATTTCAGTTATTTGCTAGTGAAGCTTAATTTCTTTCTTCAATTTTGATGATACAAAGAAAGAATTAACACGAGATGTTTCCTCTGCACTTGTGCAATTCTAAAGTGCCTTATTTAAAAGAAAGGAAAATTACATGCAGTTTGCTAGAGCGCCTCTTCAAAGCCCCCTTACATGGTATTGTTCTATGACATCCATCATCCCTCATAGACGGCTGTAAAATTGGCTGACCTGGGGACTGCTGCCACTGATGTGACCTACTGGATCCCTTCAGCCCCTGGGGACACAGTCTGGTCCATCATGAAGTCGAGTGGGTTTTATGCCGTGCAATTTTATCCTTAGGTTTCTTTTTGTATCTATGTCTCCAGACATACAAAGACTACAGTAGGCATCTAACACTAGATACAGACACCAGCACCAGGTATTTCATTTCTAAGCTATGACTGCTTGAACCGTGTAGCTCCTGAAGGCCCAACCAAGCTGAGCTTGATACTAGCAGACATGGAAACGCCTCTTGGCCAGCAGCTTTACTGCAGAGCAGGGAAGAGTGCAGACACATGGATGGACTGCTCTGGGATTAATGAGATAACAAAGCTGTCCTCTCCCAAACAATTCCTAGGTGTAATTCAGAAGCAGGTAAGGCACAAGACACTTTCCAAAGAGATGACCTGCATGTGACTGCCTGTGTTCTGGAGGTTAAGGAGCTTTTAACCACAAGGAGATGAGCCATTTCATGCCTGAGAAGAGTGCTGGGAATGATCAGTTTAATAGTGCAGCTATGGTCTCTGTGGCAGTACTCTGTAGTGAAAAAGCTGTGCATTTTGCACATTGAAAACACAAGGATGTTTGCTTTGTGCCCTTGGCATCCACCTTGTCATGATCACGATCACGGCCAACATGATCAACAAAAAAAACAAGGCTTGAAGGAGCTCCTCAGCCTCTCCTCTGCACCTGCTGCATGTCATACCAGCTCTTACTGCTACTGATCAATGCAGTGAAGTTTGACTTAGTTAGTGTGATCCCTACCATGCAGGATGGCACACAACAATGCATGGTGGGTGAGGAGGTGCTTTGGGTAACAGACCTCTCCCACATCCCGAACATTAAGGAAAGTCAGAAGCAAGGATCTGGGGAGGAGGGATATAGGGCCTGCCTGGTCCTCTCCCTTCCTGTCCTTCTGTCTTTTTCTCTTCAGCTGCTATACTGAGTGAAGAGCCTAAAATGGAAGCGGTCTGTCATTTCTCAAGCTCAGGCATGCAGCCCTAATGGCAAGAGGCTGCTGACCACGTGAGGTGCCAACACGGTCTCCTGAGTAACACATGCATTTTGGCACAAAAGCTGGCCATTCCTGGCTGCAACCAAGGACTGGTTTCTGACCTTTCCATGTCTGTATGCAGCTTGCAACATCTTTAATGAGAAACAGCGCTGCTCAGTTGTAAAAAGTTCTCTGTACTTTATATGTCTGCTATTTCTTCATATTGCCGCTGGCAAATCTTGCCAAAGAAGCTGTGGGCGCAAGTGTGGTCCTTGCAGATGTTGGCCACAGGCAGGGCTGCTCCCCAGATGTGGCTTTCTGCAGTGTAACTCTGAATGTGAAGCATGTAGATAACGACACAATGTATATGAGATTAGGAAGAGGCATGGGACACTGTAAGGCTTGCTTTAGATGGTATATAGTAGATAGGAAAGGTCAATGGGAGCTATTTTGAGCTGGATATGCACTCCAAGGATGGGATTTTTGTGCTCTCTGGTCTATGTTTGAGTTTTCCTGGCCAGGAGACAGCTTATTTCTCTTCAGAGTAAGACTGGATGTGAACTAGTATGCATGCAGCTTACACAATCTGGCAAACTGACACTGCATGAGATGGAAATGGCCCAGCAAGACATTGCAGTGTTCGGCTCTAATGTCCTGCATGGCACAGACCATACAGTTTCATCAAGTATATACTTCCTCAGGCTTGCAGCTTCTTCCAGAGATAAACTGTATCTCACGAAAGGTAACTCATTACATTGTGAGAGAGTTCCCAACTAGAAATCTCTAATTACACATCCTCAGTGAGCTCTCCTTTTAGTCTGAATTTGAGACTTTCCACTTCCAGCCTTTTACCTATTAAGTTAGAGTTTTCTACTGCCAGGTGTCTCTTTGTACAGGTATGTATAGGATCTTCTCTTTGTTGAGATTAGTTTCCTTTGATTTCTCATTGGAAGAAATTATCCAGATCTCAAGTAATTACTACAGACTTTTTCTGAACCCTTTTACAGTTGACAACATTCTTTTAAGAAATGGAAATGAGAAGTGAGGAGCCAGTACTCCAATCAGTACTGTTGCTTTCAGTGGAAATGACATTGTTTATACCTCACATTTGCTTTTTGGCTGCTGTAACACACGGGGAGCTCATGTGCTCTTAGTGACTCATCATGCCTTTGCAATTAGTTTTTAAGTCATTCTTTTCAAGTACCAATCTATGACCTACATTTATGTTTCATACGTATATGACCTTGCCTTTAACTTGCTTACAGCGCCTGCTGTTCAGGTGAGCCTTAGTTTCCGTGATCACCACATCACTCATGGAAGCCGACCTTATTAATTATGATCCTGCTAGCTTTTGGGTTGCCTGCAAACTGTGATGGTTAATGGAGGTGTCAACTCTCCAGTTGGCTGACACATCTTGTTGCTCACACTAGAGGTTAACTTACATCATTACAGCTGGCCTTCTGGGGAGGAAGATGCTGCACCCTATTCCTTGTGCTCCCCTTTGGGGTTATGGTTTTCTGTTTGTGGTACCAGAAGCTATGTCTTTGAGGTACCACAGCTCACCCTGTGATTGTTAGAAAAGACTCGGAGGCAGCGCGAATCACCAATCATCACTGGGCTGTGCTTGCAGGTGCTGCTGGAATCCTTCTGGAAGCAACTGCAAGCCTTTCTGGACACTAAGGCAGAGGCAGGCAATGAAGCGGAATTCCTAGAATACGCTTTTTGGCCTAGTTTCATAAAGATAGCAGATCTTTACAACCATACTGCTGCCTGTCTGTCTCTTCCAGGCCCTCCAATGAATGAGGACTGTTTGAGAGCTTAAAGTGAATTTGCCAGAGGGCTCTGCTCCCACAGAAGCTAATTTCCTACAAGCAACAAAAAGCAGTGGGTGAAAGGAGGAGAGAGACTCTGCTAATGCAGCATGCGCTCAACGCCTACCTGTTGAGCTTGGGCTGCCAGCTGGCTGCACAGCACCAGCATGCCATGGAGCTCAGGAGACATAGCACCTCCTGCCTCTGGGGCGAGAAGGAAAGAAGGACCCTGTGCCTGGAATGTGGAGGACAAGCCACATGGAAAACCACTGGAAATGGTGTGGGGAGCAAGAGCTTGCAGGAAATTGAGTGGGAGCAGTTGGCAACCCAGGCTTTGTAACCTTACTCGTAGAGCTGCAGGTCTGGGGTCAATGGCATGGCACTTACCTACAGGTCTAAGAGGAATAGTTCCTCTGTATCAGTAATCGCACATCAGTTGACTCATTTCCAACAAAATGACAGTGACTGAATGTTTCAGGACCATTTCTCTGTGTCACATGCACAGGATCCTTCCCCATTAGTGCTAATACATTGAAATCAGGAGTGATTGAACACTAATTACCCTTCTGTTTGCACTTTGTAGCCTAGGGGAGCACATGCTCTGGGTCAGATGCAAACAGCAACACTGCTGTGCAACCATTATAGCCCCATCTGAAATGACTTTGTCTCTGGAGCCCTTTATTGTACCTCCTTTGGGGCTGTTTGGATATGTGATATTATTTGATAATAGCATTTACTCTACAGGAATGTTGCAAAGATTAATTAATTAATTAGGGTTTTTTTGAAGTTGGGAAAACGAAAAGTGCTATACAGAATCACAGAATAAATGTTCCCAGGTATTATCAAGTATTATATGTTTCAAAACCTCATCTTTTTTTTCTTGTATATTTTTGCAGCTTTAACTTCCCATCTTGTGCCACACAAATTTCGATTACCAGTAATAGTCCAGTATGCTATGTGCCAAATGATAGTTCCCCAAAAATGTGTGAAGCCAATTCTAAAGATAAGGACTTTTTTGTCATTATACGAGTATATTAATATTTTATATGTCATATAAAATATATTTATGAGTGAGAATACATGCATATATACCCACATATGTATGTGTTACAAACAGGTATGCATGTATGTATGTATATATATACGTATGGCAACAATATGATAAAGAGAAGTTTTAGTAATTCTTCACAGATGACACTGTGGTAATACATTCTCCCAGGAATAATATGTAGGTCCCTTTAGGTCCACAACTCCTCTGTGTCTCTGACACTACCTTAGTAGCAATGATTCATAGCAAATAAATGATTATATAGTAAATTATATATATGAAATCTCTCACCATCATAGTTTGCTACCAAAAGCCCTTCTGGATTTAGCCCACTATTATTTAATGAGGACATTCAGGTACTTCTGATAGGCAGCACAGTGACAAGGTGACCTTATAAAAACCCAGAGAGGAACTGGTAAGGAAGGGATTTTTCTTTCCTCCATCCCACTGTGATACAAATGCCATCTTTTCATAGTACAGTGTGTTTGTGTGCCATATGTGAATACAGGAAAAGAGACAGCAAAGGAAAGCCTGAAATGTTCAGTACCAAATCACATTAATTTCTCAGGGAGTTTTGTTGATTTAATGGCTAAGGCAAAATACTGCAAGGACATTCTCATTGAGAAATAATCAATGAAAGGTTTAAAAAAAAAAACCACAGAAAAATAAATTAATTCATACAACCAGGAGTGATTCTACAGCCACATAATTAGCAGATATCTTTAGGTTTTCTTCAGAAAGAATGCCAATCAGCATTCATGTGATTGACAAAGACAATGCTGATGTGAATGATACATGGATCTGCAAAGCCAGGAATGAAATATGTGGAAGGAAAGGGTTTGTGATTTTCAAAGAGACTGGCAGCTGAAGGCTCACAGAGAGGTGAATACATAATTCAAGTTGTGGAAAGTAGACTCCTTTGGTGTTCTTGTGCTCAGAGAAGGGGAATATCCCATCATAGGACAAAGTCTCTGTTTCATCTCAGGAGAAATGTTCTGGCTTTTCTCTCCCCCCGGGACTGCAAGAATAGGGAACTGTAGAAATATCGCTGACTAGCAAAAAAACAGGCTGCAAACAACCTTTTATGTTCTTGAATAGAGCAGCTAAGCTGGTCTTTAGCCCACTGATGACCCGATGTGGTACAGTGACTAGCAGGACCAAAACTCAGTTGTGCTGGCAGATGCTCTGAGGATCCTTTAGTGGGATGTGCACCAGGGAACACAACTGGCTGTTCCAGTACTTGGTTAACCAGCAATTGCTACCCAGATGCACAGAGGTTATAAGCACATGAGATCCTTGGGCCACCTACAGAGGTTAGGTCCATGCACAGAGAGTGGTTAGGGCAAACTGTAACAACATCAATAGTTCAAATACAGCACTTGGCAAATACATTACTACTGTGCTTTATGCTACAACCAAGAGATCCCGCAGAATCTTCGGAATCAGCCGGGTAATTCCACGGTGTAGCCTTCGCCAGAGTGGCCACGCTGTGACTCAAAAGCACCACCTGCTGACTCCTCAGAGTAGCAGAGCCTTTCCGACTGCCATCTTCATCAAATCCTATTTTATCTACTTGCAGCTGCTTGACGATTTCAATGGGTTTAGCAGCATCAGGGTGATAGTTTAAAAATGCCATTGCTAATAACTTTTAACTATATGCTGACAAAGATTTTTTTTTATTATAAAACCTGAAACCTACCATCTTCAGTCTAGCAATGTGAGGATGGAGGCATTTCTTTCGGAAAGGATTTCAACTTCAGTTCCAATTTTATGTCAAAAATACAGCTGTAGATAGAGTTTATGTCACAACTGATTGCAGGGCATTTAGATGTCGAACTGCTCACTTTCCAGAGAAAACAAAATAGCTATCTAAGTACAATAAAATGTGCCTGCAATTATATGTGCCAGCAAAAAGTACACCTGCAGATGTTGTCAAGTGCAAAAATCTAACACTTGAAATCATTTCCAAACATGTGGAGTTTCTAAAAAGCAAACCATATAATCGTAGAATCAGAGCAGTCTGTGTTGGAAGGGACCTTAAAGATCATCTGGTTTCAACCCCTCTGCCACGAGCAGGGACGCTTTCCACTAGACCAGGTTGCTCAAAGCCCTATCCAACCTGGCCTTGAACACTTCCAGGGATGGGGCAGCCACACTTCTCTGAGCAACCTGTGCCAGTGCCTCAGCACTCTCCTGGTGAAGAATATCTTCCTAATACATGAATACCTATTGTGAGTACAAAGCACATCTTGCTTTTGCATTTGAAGGGATATCCACTCAGTAATCTTGAATCCTGACATTTACACTTCTGGATCATAAGGGATTTTAATTCTTAAATAAGGATGAATAAAATCATAATTAAAGAAAATAGTAATATGGCCATCCTCTGTGTTGCTTCCCAACCCTGCTGTCACTGTTTGTTCTTTTTTATTACCTTTCCTTTTCTCTCCTTTTCCTCTCTCTCTCTCTCACACATGGAAAATTTTCCTAGGGTCATTCCTCCCGTCACTATTCAGGGAAGGTTACGGAAGTGATTTGCCTTTTGGGAGTGCAGATTAACCGTTAGTGCCAATGAATTCCACACCTTAGGCCTCTCTGTCAAGATCCCTTGATCACAAGCAGTCTCAGTGCAGTCTCTGCCAACACTTCATTTTCCATGGAGCTACAGTGAGTCACGGATGGGTCAGCAACCTAGGATGTACAGTATTTTAAAATTAGGGTGATAATTCAATGTTAGGAAGTGAGCTAGTGGGTCATAAAAACTACTCCTTTGCACCCAAGAGACAGGCAATAGCCTACCGTGCCTTTCAGGTGTCTCGGAGAGCTGCCCTTGGCACCCTGCATTGCACTGCACATGGTAAGCACCATCTTCCAGTAAAGGAGGGCTGGATGGAGCTCCTATTGAAAATGTAACCCACCAGTGCCACTCTGTTAGAGCCAGAGTGCTGACAGGGCTGACATCAGGCACTATTTTTGCAGAGGAATTTCCTATTCCTTAAAGCATGACAAACTGCCAGCCCTAAGGCTGAGCATCCATATTCAGAAAGATCAGCAGAACAACTCTTTCCTGACCAGAATAATATCCTGACCAGACTTCAGATAGTTCCCTAGGATTAGTTTTTTTTTTGTATCAGGAATGTACAATGTAATAAGTGTCAGTAAGTGACCTGCTGAGGCTCTCTGCTCTTTCAGTTTGGCTGTTGACTCCTTGGGGAAGATGGGTGAGATGAGATGCTTCAGAAGCTCCATCTGGGGCTCTTTAAGGCATTTAGATGACTCCCTCAGTCTGCATTCTTGGTTGAATGCCCACAGAGGATGGACCACAGGAGAAGGCAGCTCTTCATGAGCCTTCCCCTACCCATGTGACTCTGACTCAAGCAGCACAGATGTGCTCCTGCTTACCCTGATGCTGATGGTGAGGGCTCCTTCCATAAGGCCACCCCCCCCTAGACTCCAGCATGGGCTGCTGCCAGACACCCAACAAATTCTCCACTTGCCATTGCTGCACTCTGTAATGCCACGATGGCAAATCATGTATCAAAAGGACATACTCCCCACCTCAATTCTGGTAAAGCTCTCTCCTTCCTCAAACCACCATAAAGAGGAGCAGCTGGGAGAGACAATACAGTATGTCTTTATTGTACTTCCTTTAACAACTCAAAACTTTTCCCAGATTACACGGTAACTACAACTATTAACATGCATATGGTGCCTTCCTGAGAGTGTTCCTAAGCATGTCTCAGCTATTTTACCAAGACAGATTAGAAGGCATTACTCATCTGTAGCAGTATTGTTGCTTGCCAAAGCCTTTTGATCCATCACTGTGCATGTCCTTTGTAATGATAATTTAGTAAGAGAGACTGATACTTAATAATTCAATTTTGGAACTTCCCCTTATCTGCCTTTTGTGTGCTGATATGAAACGGCACTGTTACAAAATACAATCATGCTCTTGATATTTCAGATACTGCAGATATGTGTAAACACTATTGCCTGCTTATAGCTTTGTTTTCTGTATTTAATTAATGTGACACTACTGGGTTGGTACTTCAGAGACTGATATTCTCTGATGAATTCGGAGGAGTTGCTAGAGAAGATGCAGTAGTTTCCATAACTGCTACCTACTAGTGTCCCTTGGCTTTGACCTTTTGCATCCAACCTGGAGAGCAAGAGGTTAGAGAAGCTGCCAGGTCTGTTCAGTCCTGTCTCTCTACATTGTGATGACCAGAATAGCACTATTTTCCTGCAACTTGGCTACTGATACGGGGCAGCTTTCAAACCCAAGAAACCAAACTGAAGCAAAATGCTCTTCAAAAATAATATTGTCAGACAAGCCTGTTAGTTGGATGTAAGCTACTTAAATCGAAAGGTGAGGGGACTGTATATTGATGCTAGACCAACAGGTTATCAGATAAACCCCCCTCAAAAGCATTTTCTGTTAAGGAAACAGGAGGCTGTGCTTTTCATTTTTCATTCGTTGTGTGCAGTGTTAGCTTGACAAATCAGCTTTAAAACTCTAGCATATATACACATAAAGACTGATAGTGAAAACAGCTTTACAATAGCAGATTGTTGAAAAGGCAGACTTTAACTGAATTTGGATGAGACTCTACAGAATAAATGTACTTACAGATGGAAGAACCCTATATGAAAAGGTCTTTTCATTTTGTGGGACTAAGCTACAATGATTTTGTCTATCGAATTGAAATGCATCAATTTGCCAAGTATGTCTAACTCCATCTACCCTTGCACAAATCACATGCAGATTGATCACCCTGGGTGATGCCCATTTTTGTGCCCATTT